GTAATCGAGTTCAGGGTCACTGAGTTCAGGGTAATCGAGTTCAGGGCCATCGAAGATCGAGGTCAGGGTCACTGAGTTCAGGGTAATCGAGTTCAGGGTCATCAAGGTCAGGGTCACTGAGTTCAGGGTAATCGAGTTCAGGGCCATCGAGGTCAGGGTCACTGAGTTCAGGGTAATCGAGTTCAGGGCCATCGACTCTTGTAGTATTCAAGACTTCCGGATCACAGACTTCAGGGTCATGGACACGCGCGCAAGACCACGTCTCATCGCTGCTTGTTTTTCTGTACTACAAGTTGCTTGCTTGTTTTGGGGTTTGTTTGTTTTTTTCTTGCAAGAGTTCATGGTCCTGATATACTCTAATAAGTCGTTCCGAAGGCGAGCACTATCACCATGACATGACATTTGACCGAACAACAAAACACATCAAGCATACTACACAATAAACCTAAGGCCACTATATTTAGGAAACTTGAAGCAAAAGGAGTGAACACATGCATAAACATTTCCACTCTCGTAGGGAAGATGACAATTAACAAAACTAATGGATCCTCCACAAAGATTTGTAAATCGGGGGCAAATGATGAATTAGAAATTATTTGTTTGTTTGCTTGTGTGTATATTGGTTCGTTTGTTTGTTTGTTTGTTTGTTTATCAGTTTGCTTGTTTGTCTACTACAGAGAAGCACATAGGGACGGTAACGGTCACCTAGTGCTGTAAAATACAAAGACATACAGACAGGCAGACAGACAGAAATGAAAGAGGGAACGTACAGAAGTAGATGAACAGGCAAAAAACCTGCTTTCAAAATACAAAGCAGCAATACATCAGCTTTGGTGTACGAACGCACACACACACACACACACACACACACACACACACACACACACACACGAGCTCAGAGACAGCTCACAAGAAATACCATGAAGCAAGATCTTGACACACGTTGGGGACAAAGTCTCAGGCTAATGCAGGCGAAATTGAATAAATAGTCGAGCAATGTGAAGGAGGGTTGGGGCAGGAGAAAGAATCACACTGTAAGGCATAGTATGGTCACATGGGTGCCTGCCTGCTATCGCATCAGTGCTATGTTAGAGCAGCGGCATCACAGGATGAGTAGCATGTGAAACTTGTGACTATGGATGTTGGAGAACATGTCGTTCTTTTCTAGTATAAAACTCAGAAGAAAATATAGACAAAATTGCATA